CTTGTGCCCATTTCCTATGGTATCATTGGACCAGCATACACTTCTTTGAAGGGGGGCGAAGTGCATGCATTAACCATTGTTTAGTGGAGATAACAGTAGGGTGTCCGATTGTAATTTCCGGCTGGCGGCTCCAAAAAAATAAATACCTCTTTCAGTGGCATCGTTCAACTCTCTTTCTTTCTCCCATTCGCTTATGTCCAGACCCTTGATAAATTGGTGCGTTCACGAATAACTCTGGTTAGTGCACGATAGCTAGGAAGCTGGGTTAAATGTGTATGCTAACTATTAATGGAAGTAAAAAGACCAGTTCTCCAGTTGACGTACCTCTTTGCGAACACTCGAGTCAAGGTGCTGTGACCCCAAGGCTATAGTTTCCTCCTTCATATTCTGTTTGTTTAATTTGTTTAATTTTTGACTTGTTTTGTTCTTTAGCACTCCTGTTGTCCGAGTTCCGGTGCCAGTAATAGCGACCTACTACGTTATTCCGCGCGCTCATACTACCGTCTTTGTCACTAATAATACTACTGATATGGTTATGACTACCACAACCATCATCAGTAACAGCAATTTTATTTCGTTCGACGGCTGCGAACGCCGTGGAGCATAGTTGACTTCAGCGTCGCTAGTGCTTTCTTTCCGCCAAGTCGTCTGTCATCAATTTATAAGGTTTCACCTTCCTAATATTTAAATGTGCTTTATAAACGACCTTTTTCGATTGTCATGCAGCTCCTTTGCAGAATGTCAGTCCAATAGTGCACGTAGTGTCGCAGACAAAACAAGTTCGATTTTAAAACTAGTCATAACACCCTAACCAAGGTTTATTAGTTGTCACATCATTTCGTCATGGGATCCGAAAAGAACTAGAATATTATCCTGGAAAATATAAATAAAATGGAAAAATGCCCAGAAGCTATAAGCGACTTTCGTTATACCAAACATCTGCGACCCAGTAGGCATTTTTAATTGCTCAAAAATCGTCTCACGAACACATCAAAAAGATAGGTACATTGTTATTGAGCGAGAGAGAGAGAGAGTTACACTTTAGTTGAATAATACTTTTCTGAAATTTTCAGAAAAAGACGTCCTCCATTGACCGTTTATAAAATTAGGTGCACAAACCAAACAAATAGTGCATAATGATTGAACACTGCAATTGCCAACATCGTGATGAGTCGTGCTTGAATGAGCCGCGCAATGTAGGTTAAGTATGGACTTCGTGAAAAACGGGACTAGCGTAGTGCGCTAATGCCCTCATTGTTCTAATCCGAATAAAGAAAAAGGTGTAAAAAACGGTTTATAATGGGCGCAACGGTCCAAATAATGTATGTATAAGAAATGTACATGCGAATGGTGATTAAAAAAGGGTGGATCCATTTCAAAGGTCCGCACAGCTTTGTCTTGTTATGATTAAACTAATTTCGTCGAGGTAGGCCTATATTCACCCGCTTGATCGATTTACTTATCAATCTAGGTTAGG